GTCTATTACATGCACAAAGTAATAAAACGTGATATTGGTGAGTAATCTTGGAGATTTCAAGCTCTGAGTTAATTTAATACTTCACAGCCGACTCTCTATGTTAAAAGTCCACCATACACAAAATACCCTCTCAGGGGAGCGAAATTCTGGTGCGAATTATTCCGGTGCGAACTATCCGGGTGCGAATTGTCCGGGAGCGAAACGTCCGGGTGCGAAATATCTTTGGTGCGAATTTTCCTTGGTGCGAAATGTCCGGGTGCGAATTGTCCTACAACCGTTGTTACCATATTGTTTCTTTCTAGTTTCTTAGCTTGGCCAGCAGTTCCAGATGCTCCGCTTTGCTTACGGCACACATGGCTTCACATCTACCCTAGACCCCATATATGGCAACATGCGACTTACTTTTGTTCAAGCACAAAAATTTGCCTCAAATGATGACTTGAAATGCAAGGCAACGTCATTTTTGAGGCGCAAACGAAAGATTTTGTTTTCCATGCTATCGAATTTTCCGAGAAGTAACTGTAATTGTTAGGAGGATATGCAATATCTCAATTTGTTCTGTGTAAGATATTAAACCTGGATGGACTCTCCTTGATGCACCCTGATGACCTTCACGGAGGAGATAACGGTTGACAAAGCAATGTCAATTGAATAAAGTGGAACTTTAGAAACATGTGCTGTATCGTTTAGTTTTAACTAGAGACAAAGATTTTCGTACGCCCTCTGGAAAAAACTATTTACTAATCGACTCATGTGCTTGTTACTGTAAAAAGTATCAAACCCCCTTTTAATTCACAATATAGTCTTAACGGCACTATGGAAATGACCCAATAACATCGCCAATTTCATTCGTTCTCTAATCTTTAGTTAATATTCTCTATCTCGCTATCATACTTTTTGTATTTTATCCGTATTACTTACAATTTACTTTTTTCTTTGCGAGAAAGTGAGTGCATTACAAGTTTGATGTCAGCTAAGAACTGTCTTTGAGTTTATAAAGCTCTAAGCTTCTAAATACGACAGGAATTTCCTTCAACGAAAAGGATCAAAGGTTTAACTTAAAAAAAAGGTTACACTCAGTGTTTTTTTTAGCAAAACTTCTGTCACATGGACTAACAATTTAATCAATCAGATTTTTGTATGTCCGACCGCGTTGTTTAGCACATATTATTTAATAATGCTATACAAAGCAAGTTAGGTTCTATATACGTTTTATTTTAAAATAAAGAGGAAAGCCAACTCAATATTATATCTGTCCTATTTTCCGCCGGCGACACTTTTAATTAAAATACATTTCATCTATAAGTTCACAAACAATCGAATATGGTTCGTTGCAGTTGTATCTCTTTTTTTTAAATGAAGCGGATTATAACTTGACGTTTACGATTATGTTCCATGTTAACAATTAGGTCGTTTTTAGATATAAAGTTATCTGTATACGAACAAAGAGTTATTCTTGTCCTTTGTAATTCATGGAATCATATAGAGCTTGAATAATTTGAATTCATTACCCTTCAATGCTTTTATTTACAGAATAAGAAATATTTCTAATGAATTCCATTCCTAAGAATCTTTCACTTTGATGAGTTTCTGAATTTTTAATCATGTGAGGTGTATGCTTTTATCATCATCTGCACTTTTATGGGCTTTCAAGCTAATGAGTAGCATGCCATTAGCCATTTGCGATGATCTTCCCCAACATTTTTCGTGGAAACTAATAGTTTATTGAATAATGTAATAAGTCACAATGAAAAGGTGTCCCTTGTCACTGCAGAATCTACGAGTCCTAATTTAATGCACCAGTGCGAAAAGTGTTTACAACTAGCATCGTGCATAATTAACCGTATACAATCGTTGTAATATTAATACGTATGTCCCTCAAACGAGCTTGTAACAATGGTTGGTAGTGGTCGTTTGTTATTTGGCGCTGACAGTAATAAATAAGTAATAGATTCGCAAACAGACCTAGTATTGGTAAATTGGATGCATGTGGAAACGTAGCAAAACGGAAAACAAGTAACTCTTTCGCATTTGGTTAATATCAACTGATTCTACGTTGTACTGGACGCTGACCTAGTTAAGTAATGTAATTTGCCTTTGTTCCTTGTGATTTCTGAATAGAGCATCAATAGTTTCACGTTTCTAATGCAATATATTGTTGCGTAAACTGCAGGGGGGGGGGCTCATTTCTATAAGTTGATTGTTGAAATAATGCCGAACATGAGAGCGAGCCACCCTGTAGTGAGTAATTTACGTGTTGTCAGCCTAATTTCCTTAATACCCATAGATTTTTAACCTGCACGATTAAATTGAGATATGAGAGGTGCGTGTAACTGTTGTAAAATTGTGGAAATACTAACTTAAAAGAACCTAATTTCCGATTTACGCATTGGAAATAGCACTTAGGACATCCTGTATGTAAAATGTCTCAATTTATTTAATAGGACCTGGAGGAATTTTGTTCAAAAAGACACAAAATTGAAAAATTTTTTTAATTGTCATTGTAACTGCTTCTAACTGCTCAGTTTATTTCCTACTTCGGTCTCAGTTGGATCTACTGTTTGTTGTGTGCGATTTGAGTTGCTTTATTTGTGGTGACTCCATATCGGCAGCATTAAGGAAGAGTAAGGTGGCCTTTTGTAAAATGTTTCAAATGCATACGGACATCCGCGAAGCAGCAACTGTCTTTTCAAACCCCTCCTCCATTCATGAAGAAGTGGAGAAACACGGTGCTAAGTCTTTCTTGAGGTGGTACTCAGCAAAGCAGAAGGAGTCGTCTCTTAAGAGCTGTCGCCATGAATGCTTCCTGAAATCTGTGTGCGCAGTAAAGCCAGATATTTCGTCCCTCCCACGATCCGAGGGAACAGCACGCAGTTTTCAAGTGTACCAGTTCCAGCAGTGGCTGGAGAATGACATCTCCCCCGATGGGGATGAGAGAGAGATCACAACCACCTGGTACCAGTCCTCACAACGAAGAACCACCTGAAGAAATACTCAACTGTATTTTCTGCAGATGCACGACAGAATTCTGCGAGATAGGTTTGCAAAAAGGGCTCCAAGTATGCTCAACCATCTGTCACAATTGCCACGGAAATGGGATACTTCTCCAGGAAGAGGATGAGCGGGAAGAGGACATAGACGATGTCGAAATCGTGGATGTTTTACCTCCATCTCGCCCGAAGAAGCTCAAAAGGTCCACGTCCACTACTCATGATACCGATAAATCCATGACGTCCATTATTTCAATCTATACTTTTTTATAACTTTCTTTGCTAATATTTTATTACGTACGTAAGATTTTATCATGCAATAATTATTAAACTGGATTGCTATTTATTGTTCTTATATCAGAAATAGAGGTTAAAATGAAAAATAGCAAGAGTGTAGGTGATAAAAGATTTCAGGAAATTTTAAAAAGTCTGTAACTTTTGACCGGTTAACGATAATTTGGGAAGGAGCTATATTTTCGAAAATTAAGTTTTCCTCATATTTTCTCAGATCATCGGTTCATAAGATATGAAGGAATGTTTGATGGAAAACGTGAGGTAAAAACCAATTTTTCAAATATTTCCGACCTTCCGGGGCGTACCTATATTTCGGAAACGGATGGGAATTTCGAAAAAGTGTATATAACCAAAATTGTAGGTAGATAATTTTATGAGCCTTCATTTTGATCATAAACAACGCACGGTTTTCAAGATATCAGCCAAAAAATATTGACCTTTGCGCCCCTCCCACCGAGAAGGCTCCAGTGGGAATCCTGTGGACGTTGAGTATGGTTACCTCCTAAGGGGTTCAAACAAGGTTCTGAAGTCAAACATTCCGCTTCCAATCATACCGGGCATTTTCATTCGTTGCCTGGACTACTAGTAAGGTTGCTTCAAAAGTACTCGTATGTATCTACTATCAGTACAGGTAATTACACACGTACCATACGATACGATACCAAAAACGAACGCCAACTCTCCTTTGAATACTTATTTCGGATATAGGCAACTGGTCTCCGATAGAACGTTATCCATAGTGTTCAGCAACGTTTTTATTGTAAAATATTTTTTTTTAATGCAATGCTTAAAACGCTAGTGTATAATACACTATCCGAATATTAATATTTTCATTATTTAAAGCTCGCTTGATGGACTGGATAAAACAAAGGAGAAGTGATTAAGAAATGTAAATGTGATCAGGTGTAATAGAAACCTACTTAGATTGCCGACGGAGCCGTCAGATGCAATAGATGGTAAATACACCACTTTTACATTTAATTAAGATTCAATTATGGATCGAAATTGCTTTTAGGTGTAATTAAATTAAAATCAACCTCTTCCGCGTAATGAAAACGGCACAATACAGATTTTTCTGGCGAGATTAAAATAGAAGATAATCAATAAATTTAGCTTTATGAAAGCTTAATTACTTACGGAGGTACAACCTTAATTTGATTACGGTTTCGCAAAAAAAACCCTAATCGTAAATCGCGCGATTGGTGGAAATTTCAGTTATACTCGTTACAGATTTGCATCAGTTCGCCGCATCTGATTGAATTGCCAATACACATGGGAAACGCCTAATTTCATGCAAATACCATAAGCCCGGATTGCGAAACGGTAAATGTACGTTCGTAAATTTCGTTCCTTGATTGTACTTACGTGCGGCGCTGTAATAAACGAAGGCAACAAGTGAAAACAAAATCTACACAAAATATGATAAGCTTTACTTTACAATTTGAATAAATACATATGTATTAATTACAAGATACGTTACCATTAAAAGCCAACAATGAAACAGTATAATTTTTTTGAGTTTAAGCTTACAATTTTGAATTGTCAAGAGCTCCAAATTACTTACACAGATGAAAAAGATATGTAGAACATTTTTATTTTACCAAAAAACTTAAATAATATCGTAAACGCAAACTAACTTTATATACAATATCACCTGTACTTTGATTAAAATTATATAATCATCTGCATTATGTATAATATATTAAGGGGTTGGGCAGCGTTTTAGGCTGCGTCATTCATAATAAAAATATCACTATTGACGTTCGTGTCATATTGTCAAAAGTCTTGCTTGTTGCAAAGCGTGCACACAGTGGTCCCAATAATACATCGGCGATTAAAAGCACATAATCTTACAGCACACTGATATTTTCGTTGATAAAAACCTCCGGTGGTTGTTGAAACCACTGACATTGTACACCGATCACCAATCAATTAAAGGCGCCGTTAGCCCAGAAGGGGATCTTTCAAGTGACTGCAGTTGGGATGATCATCGCTGACGTCAGGTCATTACACTGTGTAACTTGTGCAAATTGGTTAATGTTGTTATATCTCCCGGTTGAAGCCGTAGCGCCTCCCTATAGCTTGCTGCAGCTTCCGTATATTTTCCGTTTAAATGCAAAATAGCTCCAAGGTTCGTGTGTCCCCTGGCGTCCTGAAACAAGAACGAGAAAAGCGAAATTTAGTAACATCCGCATTTTCGCATCAACGTTAAAATTTAAAGGTAAGTAATGATATTTATATTTTATTATATTTTCATGTGCAGGAAATGTGTATAATCTCGGGAGATTTCACAGATTCCGCCGTTCTTTCCTATTGACTTTACCTCGGTAAATATTTATGTTTATCCCCTTTCTAGTGTATACTTGGGAACGCCGGTTTTATTTAAATAAATTATACAGTAGGTGCATACTTTTGAATATTCAATTCGCTTTGCCCCCTATTACTACCGTGTTTCACAGCTCGACACGCGCTATGCGGTTAGAACCGAAGGGCGATTTTCGATTTTATTACGAAAATTCGTAGAAATACTCTTAAAGTAATGTCAGAGTAAAAGCAGTTGGCACCACTGTAGAAAACGAATTTAAAAGATAGAAGTTCCCGTATTTGGCATACAAAAACAGGGTATAATAAATTAGGAACTAAAAATTTAAAAAAACAAAAACAAGTTGTTGCCTGTAGTACGGCAGTTAGTGCAGAACACCATAAATGGTGGCAAATAATAACAACGAAAATAGTATAAACAATAACTAAGATTGATGATCAAATGTTACTGTTAAAGCTTTAAATTATATAAACATTGTCAAGAAAATTCTTGATCTGGAGCGTTGGAAACGTTATCCCTATCAGGGGGGTATTGCAATCATTTCCACGGTAATTAATTCATTTAGCGGTCATATGCATAATATTACCTATACATAGTGCTCACAGTTAAGGTACTCGGGTCCCTATGCAGGTTTTTAAATTAGAAAAGCTGAATTTACTGTGTCCTTTTACAAAATTGTACATACAGAATGTATATTTATTGAACGTTACGTTATGAAATCGACTTCTAAATCGATAATTGCATATTAACTTACGTTTAATTACATATATCTGCAAATTATACTTACTATTCATCTAATTATCGTGCGAGATATGTATATACGTAGATTTGTCAGATTATTTTATTAACGAGCCTATAAATAAATGACCTCCTTATCATATCGAGTAATTAAAGTGTCATTAACCTTTAGGGTTATTAGTAATTAATACTTTTGGAGATATCACACGAAATTTTTCCTAAAACCGAGAGCTACTGTAGGAGACGTAGTTCAGACAAAATGGCTGCCCCATTATACAGCAGAGGGAAGACACATCGCGCGATCCCAGTGATATTTTTCAACATGCCAAATGTAGCTATCTTATGTAATGTATTCTGCGAGCTATTGAAACAATTTTCTACATGATCTTGAATATGCTGCGGCATCAGGAAAACTTTCCCCCACTTCCCTCTTCGTAGACCACACCAAAGAGGTGATAGAGGACGAGGCGGATGTGACGTAATCTTTCCGAGGCTGACTAAAATTCGAAATTATTTTTAAAACTCACCATTTGGTCAAAATTACACGAGAAAGAGTTTTTGGGTAACTTCTGAGCTGAAAAAGTTCAATCACGTACTAATTATAAGGTGGAGATATGCCTTATGCCCAATATGAATACAGCTTACACAAAATTACTAAATTTAAATTTTAATATTGGAACACTATTGGAATACGAGTATTTTAAAGATTCATGATCACAAAAGAATATTTTACAGAGCGTTTAGTAGTTCTTCATATACAGCCCTAGTAACATAGTTCCGTATAAAAAGCGTTTATTGTAGACTAAAACCCTACGTATATAATACGCATAAATGTCCGGCGAATATTGCCATATTCAAAAATGACATTTTTCGGTTTTTTGGCCACAAATTTGCTATTTTTAGAACTAAAAAACTAAAGTTCACCCTATATAATAATGTTTTTTTTTTAAATTCTGTAAGACAAGAATTTTTGGGCCAACTTTGCCGCCCCCTAAAATCTGCCGCCCTAGCCTCCAGCCTACTCAGCCTGTTGGTAAATCCGCCACTGGCGATCATAACCTTTAACTTAATACAAACCTTTTCCAAAAAGTAGTGAAATATCTTGGTCATCTGGTTTCAGAGAATGGAGTGACAGTGGAGCTCGTGCTCCGGTGCATAGCTTAGCTACCCTAGAAGAGAAGGAGATTTCGTATTGGATGGACGCCAGAAATGTTCGAATGGGAGCTGTACTATCTCAAATGCAAGATGGAATCCAGAGAGTCATCGGAAATTTGAGTAAAGTTGTCTCTAAACCGGAAAGCAATTACTGTGTCACCCGAAGGGAACTGCTAGCATTCACCAAGTCGATCGAACATCTCCATATAATATATGACAAGAAGTTCCACGTAAGGACCGATCATACCGCATTGCGATGATTATTGCCATGTAAGAGCCCAGAAGGCCAAGAAGCCAGGTGGTTGGAAAGACTTCGTAACAAAATACCGCGCGGGACGAAATCATCCTGAGGATTGTGGACACCGCTCACAACTGGACCACAAATATGAAGGCCAACAATGTACTCCACTTGTGAATGATAATTGGGCACCCCGAGAACTCCGGACGGCTCAGGAAAGGAACGCATGACTATGACAATGGGTAAGTACTTATCAAAAGTTGTGTCCGACCACCATTATTGGTCATTGGGATCAATATCTGCATTTGTTCCTTATGGCGAACCATTCTGCGAAGTTATTTCGCGCATTTGACCGATATTTTAAATCGGCTTCCCCTCGTTAAAATGCCTTCAGACTTCAGACGAAATTAAACTTCGCGCTCCTGTTATATAAATAACTATTTCAGTAGTGGTCTTCGTTGGACCATTTCTATCGTTGCTATTTAGATCGCGCATTAAAGGCGCACCCGGAATCTTTGCATCACAAAAACTCCCCCTGTCGCTAGAAGTCAGCTTCAAGAACAGTTCAAGTTCCATTCTATTTCTGCAACAAAATTCCATCCAATAAACTCGCGCCCAAAAATTCATCCACACAAAAGCCCTCCCAACAGTTCCACCGAAGGGTTCGCTCACCAAAGTAGAAACGAAAATCCTCTAATTTTCCCATAAAAAACGTGTACCTTACAAATTTGTTCGAAAATGTGAATATAGGTACCGGTTGCTCAATTTTATTTTGATTTCTTCAGTTTTAAGCACGCAACCAACTTTTATTCTTTCCCCTTGGTATACATGCGTGTGCCTTCTTCTGGAAAACCCTCGTATCATGAGGTCAGAATTTCGTGAATTTTAATTCCATTAAATAATTAATAACTACCCCTCCATCGAGTATTATTAACACGAGACCAGGCTTGGAATTTTTAATTAAGAGTGAGTGAACGAAATTTTTTGGGTCTCATAAAAAACATCTTTATTAAGCTTGACCTATTTACAAACTCGGAACCTGACTAATTAAATTTATGTCTAATCCGCGATATAAAAACGAAATTAATAAAGGGTTGCTTAAAAGTGTGTCAAGTTGATACCGCCAATTAATAAAAAGACCTTTCGATAGAAACGGAAAAACTTGCAGCGCCAGGAGAAATTTTAATTAGTCGCATATTAGAAATTTACATAGAACTCCCTGAGGAGTAATTAACGAAATGCAAATCCGTTCACAGTATTTACGCTCAAGAGTCAATGCATTTAACATCACCCTCCGTTGAACGTTACTTAAAGTTTCCAAACAACCGGATGTGCAATTGCATTGTTGTCTCCCGCGGCGCTGTGATAATTAACACCTCAGAAATTAAATCCATTCTCCCTTTATTATCAAAAGCGTAATTCGAAAGCTACTTCATTAGGTATTATTTTAAGATTGTCATTCTCGTACCGATACAAAGTAAACATCTTTGTGTTTGCACTACTTCAATGGCGATATGCAAGAAGTGCTCTTTAATTAAACTTGAGAGCGAAAGACGGCATTTTGGTCACTAATTGGAAAGCATTTCCATTTCTGATGCTGGCTATGTTAATAGCTACATTTCAGTTTACAGCAAGTGATATGAGAATCTTCAAACAAAATAATTATTAGAACACGAGTTAGTACACTTAGAAGTAACACCGTTTCTTAAAATCTTAAATTCTAAACTGATCTTTTGGAACATCCTGTATACCTGGAATACATTTCCACTATACTATCTCACAACAAATTAATATACAAATAACGTAATTGACTTAAGTGTTTAAATGTGGAGCGACTGTGATCGGTATATCTCCGGATTTCTCCACTGTACTTTTATTTGGAATAGTATCCTGGGCATAGTGACAAAAAAATGCTGGTACGAAGAATTTGATTTATCTATACTAATCATCTCGCGGGGACAATTCAGGAAGAGGCAAGAAAACGTTTTGTTCGTTCGAAAACCGGAAGCTATTTCTTTAGCTCATGCAGTCAGCTGCAATAGAAAAGGATAGATCCACAATCAAAGAAAAACTGAGGCAATTGAAAGTCCTATGGATAACAGGAAAATTTTCTGTGGTGAGCAGATATCACCTGCGCACGCCCTGCCCAAAAGCTTTTTAGTAGTTAAGAATATGTGTACCAAATTTGGTTCCAATCGGTTTAAAGTACATTATTATTCAATTTATTTTACAAAAACACCCGCTATTTTACTTTGTGGTATTTTAGCGGCGCTTGTTTTCCTAGGGTGTACCGATTGGCGCTAATGGTCGCCACAGTACCCCCTTCTCAGTGACTACCTAATTCTTGTAGTCGCGGAAACGTACAGGCGGTTTGGTTTTCCTCCCTACTCGAGTTGTTAGAAGACGAAAATGATCTTCCGGTGCAGTTTTTTCATTTTTCATCGCTGGCGTGGCTTCTGGGTAGGAAAGCGGGTTTCAGAGGATCAATTGCAACGTTAACACTTTTACCATTAAATGAAATAGTGCGCTTGATTATTTCATGAGGTACGGTGTAGTTGTTGAAGCGGCTTCGTACTGCGTCAACTCCTGTGTAAATGTTTGTAGCTCTGGATGTACAAAAATTGCTGTTTTTCCATGTCGTGATATTGGGCATGGACGAATTTCACGTAGAAGACCGTTTTGCGGTTTATTCAAGCTA